GGGGGCTCTCCCGGCCTTGGCCAATGGGCGGGGGAGAGAGTTGGGTTCCCGCCAGGGTTCCCTCCAGGCGGGCGGGGGGCCGGGGGGGGGGGGGGGTTGTACTCATGTAAACGCATACCGTAGGCGGTCGACGATAGACCTCGAATTACTGCAACGCCGGGCCGGAGTGAAATGCCGGGTTTTCGCCGGCACAAGCTACGTGTCACAAGGATTACCAGACGCTGGTCATGGTCCTTGCGTTTGCTGTGCCAAACCGGATTTGCCATGGGTTGGTTGGGCATCCCGGCAAACCGGGCGTTTAGCATTCGGCGGGGACGAACATGCTTCAAGTGCCTCAAAGGACTCTCCGATCTCGGCGCCGGGATCGAGCCTGAGGGGGGGGCATCCGGCTCGTTGCGCTCGCCGACGTTCACAAGAGCGTTGGATAGATGGACGGAAGACGCGGCTGGGTCCAACGTTTGTGTTGCGTGCAGATAGATCGGGATTGCTGGTGGAATACTGTCCTACCATGATGGTGCTCCTACGTAGGAACCGCGGGGTATTCGTCCCTGCTACACCGGCCGTTGCAAAGTTCTTAAATATTTGTGCCAATGTACAAGTACGCGCAAACGTGCGTGCAAGACATCGAAGACAACACGCGCAGGACACTAACACAGACCCAATTAAATAATGTATACCTTGCCGATGCCAAAGAGATAGGCCGTCTCCACCAGAGTGAGAAACCCGAGGGCCAGGGTCCCCACCGTCTTGGCCGCCTTGATGGCCTTCACCCAGCCCTGCCGCGCGCCCCAGTTCTCCCAGAGCGTCAAGCGGAACTGAGTGGGGGACGCCTCCGGCCCGTCTTCGTCCTCCTGCAATTGCCGGTGGCGGCGGAGGGGGGGGGGTGGCCGTGGATGTAAAAAAGCGGTGGTATGTGTGTCACGAGGGGGGCCTTCAACTGTGTGCCGAGGAACGATAAATTGCCGTTCTACTCGTTGGCCCGGGTAACAGCCGAAGTGTCTCCGTCTCCGCTGTAACGCCCAACGCGGTTGCACTGCATCTGTAGCAGGACTGGCCCAGGGTAGAAATTCAAAAAGCTACGGTTTTAGGTGGATGGCGTTCCGGAACGGGCTGTACCCCGCCATGTCGTTATAATCTGGATACCATATTTTTTTCGTTGCCGTTAGAAGGGTGGTGGGGTACGGATGCGACATCAAAGGTCTGCCAATACAGGCACGCGAATCAAGGCCCTTCCGCGTCAGCGTGTCATCCCCTTTTCGTATTGCGGGAATAAACAGCTTGCGTTGAGAGAAAAAAAGACGTATCATTTTTTATTTGCAGGACGCAGGTGTCGCCAATGTCTTTTGAGTAGCGCATCGCCATGGGGGGGGGCTAAGTGTTCTTCTCGCTACACCATACGTGTGACGCCGACTGCCTGCGCGAAGCTTCAACGGCATGGCCGCAAAAGGGAACCCACACCTCCTCCTCTTCCTCCTCCTCTTCCTCCTCCTCCTCCTCTTCCTCCCCGTCTCCGTCTCCGTCTCCCTGACCGGCGTTGCTTTCGTCCTGAGAACCATCATCATCCTGACCAACAATACAACCAACAACAAAAAAACGGCAGGGGGGAGGCGAGACAACGCGCGAGCAACGATTTTGTCGCGGTGGGCAAGGTGTTGCTGTCATCGCCATGCTAGCGCCATCGACGTTGTGGTTGTCTTCGCATTTACGGGGGATATCCTACACCTTCTTACATGCATCTGCGGGGGGGGGGAGGACTTTTCTTCGCGGCCGGGTGCGGGGCCCCCAAGGAAGAGAGGGAGAACAGAAAAGAAAAAAAGCTCTTTTACCGCAGCTGCTTCGTGTTGCATCAGTTCGCGCAGCACGAAAAGATTAACCACACTAGCGTAAAAAACAAGAACACAGGTCAACCTAAGTTACAGACGCTCGCCACGAGACTGGCCAATGAAAAGACAAGACACTAATAGTCTCCCAGCGGGATAATACCAGTTGACTCGAACACATTTCCAAAGCATCGCGCTTGCCCGACAGATCATAGGGTGTGCGAGCGCGCCTGTTTTTCCGTTGCGGAGCATCTACCGCCCTAACCATGAAAAGGCGTCAGTCTCAGTGAGGCAACGTGCGGGTGTGGGCGGGCGTGTCTACGTATCGTTCTCTAACCTCTTCGTCTTGTTCGTTTTCGTCGTCGTCGTCTGGCATCTCCTCGACCCCCTCGTCGAAGTACTTCATGGCTCTCGCTACCTCGTGGTCCTCCATGTCTTCCTCGTCTCCGTCGTCGTGGACCACGTGCCACAGCTACAAAAAAAAAAAAAAAAAACACACACACACAGAACGAACAAAAATAAAAAAATAATGGATTGTAAAGAGGACATGAACAGAAACAGACAGCAGTGAACACAAAGAACCAAACTCACAAGATTGGAGAAGAACACCAACAGACAGCACAGGGACGAAAAAACATCATGACAGAGACCCCCTCAACACGGCGGCAAGAGAGAGAGAGCACCATAACGACACAAATCCGCAGCAGCAGCAGTAGCAGCAGCAGCGAATCGCCAGAAGCACTAGAGGAAAATGACAACAAACGACGAGAGATGAACCCAAACACGCAAAAAAGGGAAAACACCACCACAAGAAAATCCTAACCACATGCAGATATGTTCAAGAGAAGAGCACAGGAAAACCAAGACTCAAAAAAACGTAAAAAAACGTGTGCGTGCTGAAATGAAACAGCTCACGGACATGTTTTTCGTATCCCAGGTTGACTGAATAATGTGCCCGATGTTTTTTTCCAGGAGCAGTTTCGTCTACTCCCACAGTTTTGTTCGTCTTCCCCCAGGCGGCTGGCTACCTACAGTCCCAATCCAAGGAGAAGAAAAAATAACAAAATTACATCCAAGAAACGCCTCAATTATGTACCTCGGGGTCTCCGTTCTTTGCCGGAAGGTGCGCAGCCACCGTGCAGTTGCTCTTGCCGAATTCCTACAACACGGATACGGATAGAAGGGTGCAAGAAACAGGAAACGAGATGGACGGGGGGGTGAACAACAGCAGGGGGACAGGGAGCAAAACTGGCGCCACGGAGCCACGCCTGAGACAGTTTTAAGTTTTCCCATCAAGCGGGCGCATAAACAAACAAAAAACAAGATCGAATAGAACATGAGCGGAAAAGGAGGGGGAAGGGCGGCATCGCGGCTGGGCGGGGGAGGGGCGTCCGGAGCGGATTAGGGCGTGCGAAGCAGCGCTTTAACGCTGTCGAGCTGGCCGCGCGCCTGCGGGGGTTTGCAAGGCCGCCGAACAGACAACGAGTAGACGCGATAGACGTACCACAAGCAAATGGCGAGGTGACTCACTAGGACGACAACAATGAGCTCAAACTGCAATGAAGCTATCAAGCATTTTGAGAGTTTCGGGAAGTCCGATTGCCTTGAGGTCAGCGCAGCACGTCACGAGCGTTGGTCCAAAGGCCCAGTATAAAAAAAAAACGCGGTGAACGCTGTCGCCAGGCGACCGCTGCTCTCTGTGACGGAAGGAAGAAACGTACTCCATCGCTGTGCGGTAAGTACGATGCATGCACATCGACACGAGAGCCCCACCTTAAAGAAGCGGCGGCAGCGGCGGCCGATGAGGGGGTGGGCATCTGGAGAGAAATTCCAGCCCTTGGCCTCCAGCTCTGCAAAACAAAAAAACAAACAAGAGAACGTGAAAACAACAAGCACCGACCGTGTTCGGTCAAGGCATTATTGCAGGAGCGGACGCACGACCACACAGCCGAAGGCAAGCGAAGGTCGACATGCTTGGTACATGGATGGAATGGCTGAGCAGCGCCTTCTTTCTTGTTATTTAGTGCGCCCATGACAAGAAAGCTTGACCAATGATAGTCTCCAGCACCACTGCCCACTACTGCCGCGGCGCAAACAGCACCACCTTACACAGCGGCGCTAACGACACGGCCGCAATCACTGTCGACATTGTCGATGTGGGTCTTTCTAGTTACTAACGTAGGTTGCATGACACAAGATACCACACCCCCGGAACGAGTCTCAAAGCTCGATTACTCCACGACGAAGAGGATACTGAAATCAAAGCAGACGTTGTCGGACAGCTCTCGACGGGACGGTTCCAGTGCCGCCATCTCGGCACCGTGATTCAGCTGATCGAGCTCTGAAAATCGGGCCAGGGGGTGTGATATCTTACGCAACCTACGGTAGCATCGGCCGGGCTAACTAAACGGCCGACCAATGACAAGACCTCAACCATGTGTGTGTGCGTAAGGTATGTGCTTGTGCTTGTGCTTGTACAATTAGAATCGACCGGGCAGACCAGCTGACCAATCAAAACCCGTCGGCCTTACAGCGGGAACAAAAAAAAAACAGCTTGTGCAAATTTTCGTTACATCTGTAGTTGTGTACCGGGCGCCAGTCCTAAAACCCATCCAGAAGAACCGGAAGTACGTGCAGTAGTCTGACGCACCACGCAGCAGGGAACAAGACCGCGACAGACAAAAGACGACAACCCCCTACACATTACCGCCCCCAACACACACTACAGAGGGCGGGCGGTTCTCGATCTCACCCATGCGGCCGCCCTCCATCTTGTCCTCCCCCTCCTGGAGGCCCCGCAATGTCTCCTCCAGCATCAGAATCGCCTCCTTCACGTCGGAAACCCCGGCCGCGTCCTTGACGAGCCGCAACCACGCGCCGCGGGGGGTGGCGGTGTTCGAACCCTTCGCATAGTCCCTGGGAAAAACAAAAACAAGAGTGCAAAATGGTAGTAGCAAATGTTGTATCTATTGTATTTTTGGGGGGGGTTACAAGACAAGTCACCCATGAGCAAACAGCTCTTAGGATGTGTACGTGCTAGAACGTACTGAGCAGAGACCTGGACGTGTTTGTTACGTGTATAACTTGCGCAGGACAACAACGCGTGCTTTTTTAGTAGAGAGGATGGGGAAGGCAGATCAAACAACAATTCTCAACTGCTTTTTTGCAGTGCGAAAGACAACTACCAAAAGCTGAGTTTGATGATCGTGCCCACTTTCTTGTCCCCGTTCCATTTAGCACCCAAGCGCAACCCCAACCCTGACCCGAACCCTTGTTCGTGTTTGTTGCGCGGAGAATAAGTACCCTTAGGCATGCAGTGCACAAGTCCATCCTGGTATCACATCGAAACAACTCGGCAACTTTTCACTCCGAGCACATCATCACTCAGCCTCCCTATGTTCCTGTGCTTGCGGGACAAGCCAAGAACGCCACAAGACTACAGCCACGAGTGTCTCCTGCAAACTGGACGACCACAAGAGCATTTTCTTCTTCCTTGCAGAGGAGTGTGATAAACGACGTTGATGCGCCTGCTCACGCCGCCGTTGGGAGTGGATGCCGGCTACACACCCTAGCCCACACACACGCCTCGACAACCATCAACAACGAAACATGCTATGCATACGGAGCAAGATATATATGCTGCCAACCTGGTGCGGTCTTTGATGTCATCGAGCATTCCCGCTTCCCTGTGCAGCAACGCCTCCTGCAGGGCGGGCACCCCAAGATCTCGCTCTTTGATCGCCTGCATCTTGTTGAGGCGATTCATGTACTCTGCAGGCCACAACAAACGAAAACATGGCACGTACGGCGTGGCCAAATCGAAGTCAGGAATCCCCGCGAACTAACAAAGGGCTTTCGTACGACAACGCCGGCAGTCTAGTAGGTTAGTCACGTCGGTAGATGGAGTCAAAAGCTCGCCGCCAAAACAAAAAAAAGTCAGCGGCGAGAAGGAAGATCGAGGTCGAAAAACAAAACACCACCATCACAAACAAAGGCGTATGACAAATGGTGAACCATTCCAGCGGAATGCTGTACATGACAAATTATACAAAAAAAAATCCGTCTCGTTGCCGTTGCCCTTTTCTCTCATCACCAACATGCCCCCCTCCTACACTACGCTCTCGACAACCATCCGTGGTCAACGGTCAAATGACGCAACGTACTCGACGACAACCATCCGTGGTCAACGGTCAAAAGACACGACGTACTGCACTCGATAAATCCGCTACAAGGGCCAAACTTCCCCTCCAACCACCCGCGGTCGACGGTCAACCGACCCAACGTACGTCAGAACCACCCGCGGGTCAACGGTCACATCACCCAACGGCTAACAAGACAAGGAGTGCGCCCCCCACCACCGTGCTCTCACCAGAGAAGGTCTGGGTCAAGCTCCCGTCCACCGCGGCCTTGACGAGCTCCGACACGCCATCGCCATTCCCGGGTCCCGATCCCGCCGCCGCCGCCGCCGCATCTTCGGCCTCGGCCATGGCCATCCCCTCCTTAACCTCGAACTCCTCGAGATCCTCCTGTTACAAAGAGTAAGAGGTATGCGCATAGCGGCGGTGGTCTACAAATGGTGTAGGTGTTTTGTGTCACGCATTCCTCTTCAAAAGAAAGAGGAACGGTGGTCGAACAGCGGTCGACAAACAGCGTAGTTGTGTTCTGTGCTATGCAACCTGTTAAAAAAGAAAACAGGTACTGTTCACGTAGCCGTTCACAAACAGCGTACGTGTATTCTGTCCTCGCATACCTTGTAAAAAGAGAAACACGTAGTACAGGTAGCGTGGTGTTCTACAAAAACAGCAGTCCCCTGTTTTCGCTTTTGTTGTATATTTCGTTCAAGGTATGTTGTAATAATTCTACGAACGGCTTTCGTGTGTGCTGTTCTATATATGCATACGTAGCGGCGGAACAGTCTGAAAAGACTCAGGGCCAACGGAGACACCCGGGGGGTGGGGCTTCTCTCTTCCAAACACCGAGTTTCGCCGTAACATCGATCAAACGCGCTTGCTTGCCGTCCTGTGATCTGTGGCTGCGGGATATTTTGACCAGCGGGGGCGTAAAATAAATTCACCTCGTCGCCGTCGTCGTGGCGGAGGGAATTTTGTTGGAAACATAAAATATGCAACCCGGCTTCCTGTTCTCACGCAAAAAAAGAAAGCACCTCGTCGTGGTCGTCAAATTTTCTTGGAAATTTCTTCGACCCGACTTCCTATTGCTCGCGAAAAAAAAAAAAAAAAGTCACCTCGTCGCCGTCGTCGTGGCGGAGGTGCCACAGCGCCAGCCCCTGGTTGCTCTCCTTAGGGATCCACTTCGTAACCGTGGCGCCGGCAACCCTCCGGCCGAAAACCCGCTTCACGCGCTTGCCGAGGTACTCGGAGCCCTCCTCGCGCCAGGTCATGCTGCCTCCGCTTTGGGCGGCATCCGACATCGACATCGCTCTTCCGTGGGATGGGAAGGGATGAGATGGGATGGAATGAGATGGGATACAGGATGAAATGGAATGGGATGGGATGCGATGGGATGCGATGGTAAGGTATGGGATGGGATGGGATGGGATGGGATGCGATGGGATGCGATGGGATAGGATACGGGGGTGACGGGAGATGGCGCATTGGTTTGGAATTCTGCACGTAAAGCACATTTATCTTGAGAATACAAGAGAAAACACGCCTCATAACGAAAAAGCGAAACCATTCAGATACTGCCAAGAACAACGTATGTAGCTCTTGCGAACGTAGATACCGTAGAACACGTCACAGTTGTCTTGTCACACCTGTCCTTGGCGTTGCGCTCTAGGTCAGACATGTCGAATCTCTCCTGCAGCGCCTGCTTGAGGTCAGCCTCCCGCTTTCCCCTCGGGTCCAAGCTCTCGATCAGCTTCAGGAACTCCTCCGGCTGACATGAAAAACAAAATTACACACACGCACACACGCGCGCACAAGAAGAGGACGCCAAACAAAGTTGGGTGCATGCGGTGATACCGCAGATTCGGGTCCCTAATTGGAGAGCAAAGGCCGTATACATGTATAGGGTAGAAACTGCAACAGGGGAGGTTATAAAATTGGGTTGAAACACCAGAAATGCACACAACACAGCAGTGCGTTGTGAAGGTTCGCAAAACCTCTCTCAATCTGTCTCTCTCGCTCTCTCTCTCTCTCTCTCTCTTTCTCTCTCTCTCTCTCTCTCTCTCCTCCCTCCCTCCCTCCCTCCCTCCTCCCCCCTTATTTCTCCTTCCCTCCCTGCCCCCCCCCCCTCCCCCTCACCGTATCGTAGTACATCCAGACGGATTCCGACCACACCGGGTGGTACACCTCCATCGGGGGGTGTGGCGCCTTCTCTGCCGCCACCTCGGCCTGCTTGTCCGAGGAAGAACTGGCACCGGTGCCGTTAGCACCGCCGCCAGCGGTATCCTCCGCCTTAGTCTTGCCCTTACCGGTGGCCTTGGCCTTGGTGGTGCCGTTGGCGTGGTCGTCATCCGCGACGGCCTCCAACTCGATCGCCGAGGATACGGGCGTCTGACAAACAAACATGGTTTCACGGGGTTGGGGGGGGCTAGTTTCAGCACCGAGTCGTACCCGACGGACAGACAGATGAAAGAAGAGGGAGAGACAGAGAGAGAAGAGGAGGAGAGGGACGGAGGGAACGAGAGAGACAAAAGACGGAGAGCACCAAAACAACGCCAATCGTGGCGCTGAAAAAAACACGTCTTGTGGAGAAACTTTGCCGTACATTTGCGCCGGCGAGGGTGAGTGCCAACACCGATTGGTGCCCGACGAACGACAGACAGCCAAGCGACAGAGAGAGATACACCGAGAACAAAACACTCGGTGAAACAATGTCTGCTGCGTACCACGCAGTTCGGCTTCTCCACGGAAACGAACCCACGACGATGACTTCCTCTCGATCGATATATGCATAGGGAGCACCAAAACCCGATCACGCCAGCAACACTGCTGCAAGTGGGACTACTGGACGAAGCGCCAGCTTCGAAAAATAGCTGAGACAAGATTCCGGGGAAAAAAAAAAACAATACGACAAAAGGCTGGGATTTCCAACCGCTTTCTTGGTTCGGGAAATTCAACTTTTCGACTTCAGAAATATCGAACGATGTGCCAAGCCTATTCAAATGTCCGTTCTACACCACTGGAAGACGCTCGCACAACACGAGAATCATGCAACGACAACGGGGAAGGGTCGGTTTCCCCTAGGCGTAGTAAAGTACAGGTCGCTCCGACATGGTACGACATACGGTATATTCCGTGCTTCGAAGGAGCTAATTTGCCCTAGGTGTATGCATAGAGCATTGCCTTTCTTTCCTGCACGGTACGCCATACGGTATATGGGAGTATGCTGAGTTACCGTTACCGCGGCTCACCTTGGGTGGCGTGTCCTCGACGGCGGGGACGCCCTCCCTGCGGGTGATAACCTCCACGTGAATCCTGCCAAGACATCAAGGCGTCGAACGTACACACATACATACATGAACGGGCGTTGAAAACCACAAAAAGCACAGAGTCTTCCATCCAAAAAAATAGACGCAGTAGAGTCGAAACGACATGCTCCGGCCGACAGAAAAAAATGCGGCGGGATTTAACGGCAGCGGGGCCGGGTATGTGTGTGATGGCGAGCGCCGCGCCGGGGGTGCTAGGAATGGGCACCCAACCTTTGTCTCGGGGTGCGTTTGGCCCGTGGGCTCTTTCTCTCCATACGTTGCCATGTGCAGAACACAAGACTGATACATACAATTCTGCGCAGACACATGTGCTGCCACGGGTGCTTCGAAAGTGCCACATACACGTCCCCCGTCGAAGTCGATAGCCTAACCCCCCTCTCTCGAAGGCCGATACTTCTACCGGACACGATCCCTTGCGTCACAAACCAAACAATACCAAGGGCACACTAAATACATAAAGCAAGGACCAACAGCTGCTTCACGAGACACAACACACGTTGACTCCCCCCCCCCCCTCGACTTCCCCCCCGGTGTTTGCCATCGGGGTTGGGTTTTCGTCGCTTGGCAACGACGTTGTAAAACAAGCCGCCCCCCCCGGTGTTTGCCATCGGGGTTTGGGTTTTCGTCGCTTGGCAACGACGTTGTAAAACAAGCCCCCCACTCGGTGTTCGCCATCGGGATTGGGTTTTCGTCGCTTGGCAACGACGTTGTAAAACAAGCCAATTCACTTCGTGAACTCGGCAACCAGGTTACCGTTTTTTTTTTTTTTCCTGGGATTTTTTTTTGGGGGGTAACCAAAATGGGGGTGGAGTAGATCATTTTGGGGGGGGTGGAGAAACCTCATTCGGGGAAAGGGGGGATGATCGCACCAGGTGGGGTTAAAATGGTAAAGTTTCTTGGGGGCAGTTACAAAGTGTTTAAAATTTTTTTGGGAAGGGAAAGCCCCAAAAAAAAAATTAATTCATAGGTAGTTTTCATCGGTAGGCAAGGAAGTAAGCAAAAGATGCGGAACACCTTTAGCGGGAGGCAGTTCCCCTTTCATGGGACTCGCCAAATACCTCACGGCGCTTCGCGCTTGGTGATGTGAGAGCCTGGTCCGGTGAGAACCCGGCGTGCTCCGTCCCGGCTTTGTAGGGATGCGAGGTCAATGGTCAAACGACTACGGCATGCACAACTATGAGTACACCCCCCCCCCCCCCCCTCGACTTCGATAGTCATATGCCCCTCTTGCGAAGGCCACTACCTGCCAAAAACACCTTCTCTTGCGTGCAAATTTAAACTAAATACCTTCAGGCACTCCTACACAATACATCAACACCTTCCGCCGGACGAGACACTCGTTGAAGCTCCCACCCATGTACACCTTAATCCCCCCCCTCTTAAACACGCTGCATGGACAGGACACACGCTTTCTCTCTCATCAGGCACGCTACACGCACACCAACAGCTCATGTCCGAAGAGACACAGCACATATTGATAAGCTTCTTGACGAAACACCACACGCGTGCATACCTCGAATCCCCCTCGAAGACCCAGTACCTCCTGCCGTCCCTGTCGGACCCCAGGGGCTCCGTGCGAACGAACTTCTCCGCCATGAGCCCCTTGTACTTCTGCAGGATCTCCGTTCGCCCCATGCGCTCCTTGGCGCTAGACAGCGCCACGTAAGCGTCTCGCATCTGGTACCGGCAGATGAAAAGAAAGGTTGCAATCGTCATGGCAGCAAGCATGGCAGGTGAGCATGGTACGTAGTAAGCACGACGCCACAGCAAAGAAACAGATGGGTCGGATCGATGCCACGCCAAGACTACTACCACTACGGCAACGACTCGTACTACTCGCGCCTAGGATGTGTCCTGATCGCTATATATATATATGATTGGCAGCAATTCGTCAGTGCTTGGGCTACAGGCATGTGTACTGACCGGCACATGTTCATCACCTCGGGGCACAAGAACCTGGTTCCATCGTCATCCTCCTCCTCGAGAAGCACCTTCCTCCCTTCCTTCAACGCCTCCTCTAGACTCTCGACATCCCCCTTAGCCGTCGCGGACTTCAAAGACTGGGAGGGTGGAGTTGGGTTGATCGAGCGAAGGGGGCGCGCATTGGCGGGCATAAGAAACGCGCCAAAGGCCCGAGTGCACAAGCGGGCATGTGAGGAAAATGAAAAAAAGCTCCCGTCATGTGCGCCCTTCCTCATTCGTGACCCCAGCCAATGCAGTAGAACGTCTGAACATGGATGCATATGGAAGGCGCATTGACCGGCGACAGAGCTGATGGAAACCATCACGAAAACACCTCCACGCTGCTGTACACACTGACGTATTTTCAGTGGTCAGCCGATAAGAACGGTCAATATTAAAACAACAATTTACGCGCACACACTACACACCTCAATTAGCAATTTCGAATTTCGGTCCCATTCCAGGGACCTTGATTTGGATTTTTCCCGCCGGCACAGACGTCTTCATTGGTCAGCACGGTCGATGCCGATTCAAAAACGTGCACACACTTTTTTCAGCCGCACTTGAGACTGGCGTATTCTCATTGGTCAGCAGCCGGTTAGAGCACGGTCGATGCCAACAACCAAACACACACAGCCACCCACCTGCAAGGCCCTGACTTGGTGTGCCCTCTGCAGCCGCCTCTCCTTCCACTCCTGCCTGCGCTTGTTACGCTCCTTGTCCCTCGCGTCCTTCTCGCGACGCCGCTGGATAAGCTCGATGCGTGTGAGGTTTTCGAGCATGATCTTCTTGGCGGCCTTGTCCTCCGCCAGCTGCTCCGCCTCAAAGGGGTCGACGTCGTCCTCTGGGATATCGATCTGATTTTTTATTGTGGGCGACGTTTTCGCAATGAATTGGTACTGACTATTGAGAGAGCATGGCTTTTTTGTGGGACATTTTCGTAATGATCGGTTTGAGTATAGAGAAAAAATCCCTTTCGGTGTGGGACATTTTCGCATTGATTGGTTTTGAGTACAATACTGAGAAAATGGTAATGGTTATTTGATCGTTTCTCGTAGGACATTTTCGTATGGCGGTGCTACGGCCTGTAGACTTACCGATCTGAGCTTGTAGTCTCCGCCGCAAGCCTCCTTCGCTGTCTCCTCTACGATGCCCGACAAAAGCTGCGCAGAGTTTCGAAGTTGGAGCAGGGGATGGCATAACCAATCAACGTGTGCAACGAACGCGAGAGGGGACGCGAACAACGTCAAACCCACACCACAACGACGAACACAATCAACAACGGCAGGAACAGCAACAACGTCTGAGCTCAACGACAACAACGACAGAACAACAAACAGAAACAAAGGCAACGACACCATCAGCGTGGGGGCGAAGAACACCAACAACTGCTTCTTGATGACATGTTTCAGCTCTTGCCGTCTCCCCACAACACGACCACGGCAACGCGTCGCCAAGCCACCCCACTCGGTCACACCTGCCCCCTGTCCGGCTCGAAAATCTTGGGGTTGACCTTCACCACCCCTCCCCCCTGCGTCTTGAGCGTCTTCAACCCGTCCTCGCCGTCCTCCCCCCCCCCGCCGCCGCCCGCCTTCCCTTTCCCCTTCTTCCCCTTCCCCTTCCCCTTGCCGCCACCACCGCCTCCATCTCCGCCGGGCACCGCCCCCGGCGCGGGCGACGCCGCCCGAGAACCGTTGCTGCTAGCAGTACCGCCGCCGCCGTTAGCTACCGCCGCCGCCGCCGTAGCGTCGCCGCCGTTCTTCTTGCTCTTGTCCTTGCCGTTGGCGACGGCGGCGACTAGCCCGAGCTCGATCGCTCTCTTGGCCCGTTCGGCCGCCGCCTTCTCGGAGTCCCACGCGCGCTGGAGGTAGAGCTCCTCGTTCGCCTTGCGGAGACGCGCGTGCACCTGGGGAACGCATCCGGGGGATGCACGCGGAAGTTATCGAATTCGGGGGGGGGGGGGGG